CTCATTGTCAGTAGAATCGATCGATATGCGCGATTTCATTTTCTCGATTCCACACTTGTAGTAAACACATTTTTTACATTTCAAATACGAAGTGAACTGTCTCGGAATGATAGCCAGGTATCGATATTGTCCGGTGTTCCTAGCTTAACTGACTCGACGTCTGATATTTTTTACCTTTAATGACTGAGTAAATGCGTCAGGTATCGATACCTTTACCCGTATGGTATTCCTATATGCGCGACGCTCGTCGATCAATTGGAGCGACCGAGGATCCGTGAGAACAATCAAAGCGCACGGAGATTCGATATGTAAGTAAATCATCACCGAAATCATGCCCGAATCATTAAATGATATGTTAATTTGCGACGCAACGTGTGCGCATCTTTATCTTCTTGCTTCTTGCACATCTCCATTCTTGACTATGCAAATATTCTGCACTTGTTTCAAGAAATGGATCAATTTTTTATATTGTTTGATAGATATTTTACCGAATGTATAAAAATGTATGGGTCGAGATCAACTGCGTCAAATGGAGAATTTGATTTATTATATGACAAGATGTCACACATACAGAAGTTGACATATTACTTTTCGTCAAATCTTCTCTTTGATTTTTCTGAATTTGTTAAATTATAATAATTACTTTTAATACTTGCTATATTAATATTAGATTTAATATCGATGTAATTAGAGATGGAATGGTTAAAATCAAATATAGTAAATGTTCGTATGATATTAAATTCACTCTTCTCCATTTGTGCATCGTTTGAATCGCCTTAAACTAACGTTATGAATTATTACGAATCGAAATGGACGCGTTTTCGAGCTGTCTTTTCTCCGATATATTACAGAACGTAACACTATATACGTATGATCTTTATAATTTCCTAACTGTCTCGTATCATTTCCTTGCGTTAAGAACGATTTACATGGTAACAGATAGTCGATACATGTTTAAGCGATGGCAACTATAACAATGATCAAAACAATAATCAACAATAATGGATTAACAGAATTCATCGATAATTTCCAGAGTCACGGAGACTCTCATTATCCGCCGCGATGCGTAAAGGCCGATTCGATTATGATCTGAATTTTTTATTTTTTTTTCTTACTTCCAACTCTCTTACGCTTTACATATATATTTATATATATTCATATATTTATATATATATTTATATATATTATATAATCCTTGTAAACACACCTACAATCAACAATTTGATAAACCCTATTCCGTAATTTACACAATCTACACATAGATGTTTTCCCGCTTCCATTAATAATAAATAATTAGATATCGCGATGTTTCTCTTTTTCTCGCACGGCGCAACACTCACGCAAGTACATCCACGCACACGCACGCACATAAACAGGCATGAACACCCACTTATTGTGACTATAACGAGGTCCAATTGCGAATAAATAACGAAACCATCCTGCGAACCTTGACGGCGAATGACACTTTGGCCCATATTTTCACGTGGCATTAAATATGATATTTGCGTTTGATAGCGTGACACTTAATAGTTTCTAATGTCGCGACATTTGATTGGACTTGCGTTGTAGTTGATACTATAGTAACTGTATAATAAGAGTTAATTCAAACTTTGATATTAAATTATTCATGAGGTTATATTTATTAGATTTAATTTTTTATATATGTAAATATATAAATAAATAACTAAAACTCTAATAATTATGGAAGGAGAAAATTAGGAAAATTATGGTTTTTTATACATGACTTGACTTAATGATATGCTGCAATATTAATTCTATTTCAATTACTCAATACATTCTATTCGTATTGTCGTATATGGAATATTATTAAATATGAGATATCCCTATAAAAGAGAAGATAAAATATGTAATCGAAAAAAATTCTGCTTTTTTCATATAATGAGACTATGATGACGTAAACTTTGTAATTATTTTTATTATATATAACGACAATATTAAAGTGATACGACGAAAAATATAATACTTACCTTTTAATGCCACGTAAAAAAGGAGTCTGAAGTGAGCCACTTGTCATACCTTATTATACAGTATTTGAGTATTATATCTCTGCAGAAACACTTTATATGCTGGCAGACCGCGCGTCATTTTTTTTTTCGTACTTCACAAGTATAAAATATTTAACTTCGATATGCGTTAATCGTCCATTCACAATGTGACTGTCGGATGACATAATTGACAACGCTATCGTAACGAGCGGTAGCAAAAGTGCTGTCATTAGAAAGCGTCGCATCCTTTGTCTACCAGGAATATTCATTGTCCCATTAAATGGACGACTTTTATGTAAAAGGACCTGAGTGCCTTTATGTCACAAAACTGTGAAATAAGATTCTAAAGTTCTCTCTAGAAGATGTAATATCATTTTGTGCCATAAGAGTAATTTATAGTAAAGTTATAAGAGTCTTAATCTATTTAACAAACCAGTTATAAGATTTAGATTTTAACTATTAATGGGTTAATAAATATTCTAACTCAAAGATATGTATATACATTTATACAGAAAGATGGATAGATTCTTTTTTTTTGTTTTTTATTTTATATAAACATTTCTAAGATATGAGAATTATTCGCGAATATTCCTAACTCAAAATTGTCGGCACTTGGTGCCGTTTATAGAAAAGCCGTCTAAATGGCATAACAACGCGCGGATATCTAATATTGGACTCGGAAGCTTGAAAAAAGCGATGTGGACCCTTGAAACGTCGATATTGATGTCATTTTGAATAAACCGATGAATGAATTATTAATAAATTCTTAAATATAAATACAGAAAAAATAACGAAGCCGAACATTTGGCACGTTTCTCTAATCGGGACAAGCAATTTTCTCTCACTTTTGCTTTTATCTGCGCGCCTCGTCGTCACTGAGCCAAAATTATGTATCAAAATTCGTTTACCGAGTCGTCGCGTTTTCAACGAACCATGAGATTTTTCTGAAATTTTATGCGTACATATGTGAATCATAATACGTATATCACAAATTAATAATTCAGTTTTAACATTAATAGAAAATATAATTTTCGAAAAATTTTATGTGTAAAAACAGGTGTCTATTCATAGTTTTCAACACTATATATGAATATGTAATTGTATGAATTTATTTATATATATAAATGATTTGATTTTTTTCTGCAAACTAAGAAGAGATCAATTTTAATAATATTTGTATATTGATACACAAAGTTAATTCATTATTGTTATTCCGCGCATTTTTTCACGTGCGAAGAATTCTTGTGATGTTAGTTGAATATTCATAACTCGAGATTTGAATTCTCTGACAGAAAATTCGACAGTTTGGTTATTTACACACAAAGCACTGTTTTATTTAAAAAATTCCATTTTCTACTTTTTTCAACGAAGCACATATCGATATTTCTTTACCGTGAAATTTTTTTCGCGATATAAGAATAGAAAGAGCGATCGTGAGTCTTCTCGAGTTTGATAGGATATTCCAGATTGATACGTATGTATCGGTCTAGAAATGTTAGATGTTATATTTTTGAAGCACAGATGATATACATATATGGACTAAATAAAATCTGTGCTACGTGTACGAAGAAATTATATAAGTTTAACGTAACTGTCAAAATAATGTCGAAACATCAGAAAAAGAAATCTCTCCATTATATATGAATAGATTGATAAATATTTGATAACAAAATTCTAGGTAAAAATATTTCGGTACGATTTGTTCGCGGAATGTAAATATGTTAATGAGAAAATTTTCAATTACCGTCCTGTCAGATGCTAATATCTTTTTCTCTAGAAAAGCACCGAATATAGATAATACAGATATTAATATACAAAGTATAAAAGTAGAAGCGACATGACACTTTTTTTATTAATTTGGACAGATATCTCAGTGTCAGCATCTGTAAGACAGCCGAAATCGCGAAAATGCGAACTATATAATTTGATAAATCAAAATTTATCAATGTATTCTTGCTTGTCTAGTCTCAATTTAGAGAAATGTAATTCGAAATTGAATTTCCTACGGTATACAAAGCGAGATATATATATATATATATATATATATATATATATATACACCGTATTGCGAAATTGCATGCGTCACGCACGCACGAGCGGAAAGCCCGGCACTTCGCTTCGCTCTCGATCGTGTAAGTAAAATCGTCTCTGGATTAGACACCGATACTGGCAGCAGCTCGTTCCACTTGATCGCGGCTAATGCGAATTCGCTCGATGGGAATTCGCGCGTTAATTAAACATGCGCGATTTCTCGCGCGGCAGTCGCTATCGGGAGTATTTCCTCCGGCGTCGGTAGCGACTCGACGTGAACGACGTTCGCGTAATTGATTCCGCGTGTAAAACCGCCCGCCTCTCGCTCACTCTGATCTGACGTTTCGGGCGCGAGCTAAAAACTCGGGCGGTTTTATAATTATGTCATTGGGGGAGGGCGTGATGTATGGCGAGATGCGGCTACTAACGAGATATCTCGTTAAGCCGCAAACGGACAATCGCGGTAACCGTAGCATGCCGCGATGACGAAGCGAGCAAAATTTCACAATCTTCGGTATGTCGTTAACGTTTCGTCGATATTCGTTAGATTGTTAATTTACATGGGCGTTAAGTGGAAGAGCGGCTACGTCGGATCGATGCGACACGAGATATATGGACAGCTTTTATATTAAAAGCATCGCCTATGAATTAAAACTGAAATAGGTTTCTCTGAAAATTGCTCTCGAAAAAAATATGATGTGATACAAAACTTCGCGATCATAATAATGTAAGTAATCTTTAACAAACCAATTAATATTATTCATTAAGAGAGATGTAATTATATTTTTTTTACAAACAAACAACATGCACTTGTTTACAAGAAAACATGCAATTTGTTTACTGTTCTTTAAATAAAAGATGAAATAGCATCAACACATTTTTTATAAATATTAAAAAAATAAGAATATAATTATTAAGTTTTTTTTTAATTGAATATATTTCAAATAATTAAACATATAAAAATCGTCCATATTGTATTTTTATGTCGAGTTTTTGAACTGACGTTCTGTTTTATAAGAGGGTGACTATTATTTTTATATATGAATTATATATGATTTAATTTCATATATCGCTTGTTAATTCGGTGTTTCTTGGCCTCCAATTTTTGCTTTTCTTTCTATATATGCACACATTATTATTATCGTTTATTCTCGCGTTTCAACATAAAATTTTATGAAATATCCTTTGTTCATTATCAAAATGTGAGCCGGGCAGGTGTTTAATTATCGCATAGAATTGACGTTGGTAAAAGTTTCAAACTTCACAATTGTAATTTTAATCCATTTTATACCACAAATGTAATAAATAATAAAAACGTAATTATTCCTTTAGGAGAAAATTGTCCGGTAAAAAGCTGTTACATTTGGTTAAAATAATAATCAACTTTATATTATAATTCATCTTTTAATTTCCACAGAAAAATAAATCCGCTATATTTTCGAAATACGTTTTGCTCAATATACGATTTTAACATATTATCGTTTCACATATATGTGTGAATATTTATATCAATCTGATAATTATAATAACAATTTTTGCTTCGCCATTTCTTTGATTTTGTGAATGTTTTTTCTCTCTATATATGTATATGTATATTTCAAATACATATATTAGCACCCTTTAGCAACGTGGCGCATCATTTTCGTATAAGATATTACGACTATTGTTACGTATTAACGAAGTATCGATATCCAAAATTCGATCGATATGGTAAGCATGGATCGCCGAGAACGCGACTCGATCGGATTATTATTTGCCGCTGTCTCGCGCAATCTCTCTTGGAGTTAAAGCTAGAGAATCGAGCTCGTAATAAACGTATTTTGAGTGTGTTTTAAGGATAAATTCCGTCTATCTTACGTCGAAGCGAGCAGATGATGCAGCGCGATTAGGATGACTGCGATGATCGCAGGAGACGCGTTCTCTTTCGACTTGGCGGATGCCGAATTTTCGTCCGCGTCGAAAGCCGGTTCTAGGGTAGATCCCGTTTCCCTCAATGGGCCCTGATGCACGTGATTCAGTCTGTGATCGCGATCGCTGATCGAATTGCCCGCATCATCCTCCGATCGTCGGTCACCGGTCTTTTTGGAATGCTGAGGCAGGTCCATATCTATAACATGATAAAGATGGAAAAGTAGCATTAGCATTTTTTTAATAATTATATTTTTGTGAGGGTTATATATATATAAAATAGACAATAAGAAAGACAGTTTTAGAAACAATAGAGAGAATCCAAGTTTAGTAAAACAGTCGAATATATATATATATATATATATATATATATATATATATATATATATATATATATATATATATATATATATATATACATATTAGTATTTTAAAATGTATATATTACTTTAAAATTGATTCGCACTGTTTAAGAAAAACTAAACTTGGATTCTCTCTATTGTTAGGCATTTCCTATAAAACTGTCTTATTTTTGTTTTCTCTCTTCAATGCCTCGTAGAGAAGTCGTTATGCTTGGAGAGAGACTTATGTGAATGTGATTTAGACAGTGATTTTTATAACAAGTTGCCAAGTCGATGTCGGAAAACGTTGGAATTATCGATACTTACGTCGCGCAATGAGAGTGTCAAGCTTGCAGTTCCTTCGTTATTGAATTCTAGGCACGATCGTCGAAACATTATTTCAACTGTGGCCAACCAGTAGTCGGCGATACGCGCGCGACTAGATATCATTTTTTTCCGCACGTGCAGAACCTAGATGGAGGGTATCGCGCGATGTTTTTACGCTCCACGTCACCCGATATACGCGAGGTGAATAAAAGTAAAGTGTGATTTACTTTTTGGAATTTGTATCGCAAGTGCAGTTTGTTGCGCGCAAAATGGAAAAAAAATTCTTTTTTCTTGCTTTAAAAAAAAATCGTTTTTAAGATGAGATTTTTTTTATAACTTTGCAATTAAAACGACACGATTTTCTCGCGTGCGTATATAACTTTTTCTTTGACAAGTATCGTGTATTTTTCGACAATACTAAATATTCGCGGCACGTTACATTGAAATTCAACGAGCGAATGATGAGCAAGTCGATACGTGATAGCGAGTAACGCAAAGTTGCGGGAAAATAGAAGAGGAGCAACGATATGAAGCATCCCGCTACTTTTCTCATGTTACGATCAATCGGTACGCTTCGTTCTTTAGGAAATGTATGGCCAACACTCATTTCCCGTACTGTTTCGATACACTGTGCAGGTCAGACATGCCTGTTTCGCAATGTGATTAAATTCTACACCGAGCATTATTGAGCTAAATAATTATTATAAGAGTTTAACAAGGCTCTGTAATATAAATATAAATTTAACGTATAAGACGGGCAACAAGAGCCAAATCACGAACTATTTTCCGTTAGAATTAATGCACAAGGCACTTCGTTTTTGAAAATTATATCAATTTTGAAAAAACAAGTAAAATTGGTGCCTTGTGCACGGTAATGTTTAGTTTTAACGCATACGCGATAAATAATTATTGCCTTCGCACATTTAGATTATATTTAATCCTTGCAGAAAAACATACACTTTAAATGAAAAATGTTTCATTATATATATATATGCATACATTCAGTAACGATATAACGAGATTTGATTAAATGTTACATGTTAACGCATTCCTCATTATCCAAAATGGAATTATATTAGCGTAACCGAACTCGCGTAACATTAGAACGTTTAACCCCCATGTTGATTATATAGCTTCGACGAAGCTACTAAATACCAAAATCACAGGGCTAATTGACAAGATCGTGTTTCAATGACATTGAATTAGAGGTTCCTCTCTGCTAGCTATTGCTACTTATTACGAAGCGCTCGAATCCTGCAACGAGACGCAATTTCCATCCTAATTTTGCTTTTGCTCGGTCAACTCCACTTAGCAATATTGCTAATGAATTTAATTCATACGTTGAGTACGATGTAAATTCTCTATGCAAAAATTTCACCTTTGACTCGCATAAAAAAAAACTTACATTTATTACCCTCAAATTTGAAGTTGCGCAAAGCAACCTTTTTGCTCGCGAATGTGAAACATTTTCGTAATTACGTCCCTCTGAAAATTTTTATTCGCTGAAAAAGTTGATTCTGCGCGATCGTCAGGCACAATTCTTTCAAAAAATAAAAATATAAAAATCTGTCCCGCTGAGCCTGCGACACACCCCGTATACAGCTGCTTCGAACGAAGAGACAGGCTGTGGTGGACCGGTGGTTAGAAGAACTATAAGAAGAAGTAGAAGAGTGTGGTGTGCCCGCGTGTGGCAGCCCGTCGAAATAGCAGTTTAGCACTGATAACACTTGGCAGACTTTTATCGATCATGTCTGGCAACAGATGGCTCACCCAATTCCGGGCGGCGCGTTTTGTCTGGCTGGCTGATAAACGATAACTAATACGAGACACGGGAGTACGCGAGCTCGGGATGGCGGAGAGCAAGAAGAGAGATAACGGCGCGGCGGGATGGTGGCCACGTTAGATATTGTTTCACGGTCTTTTAACCCGGCGACGTGACGCCCCAATGATCTTCGCTATTGTTCCGCAGCGCTTTTTTGACGGCGCGCAACTTATGCTTTGCTAGCTCTAGAAGAAATCGTTATTGAAACCACAAGTGATGCTTGTTGAAATTTTCAACATTTTTCAAACTTGTTAAATTTTTTAAACTAACATTGATAGGTATTTCTACGAGAACATCGTTGCTCTTTTTTAAATAAGGTACAACATGTTATTTTTAATTTTAAGAAATTATCTTTTCATTAATTTTCTTTTTTTGACAAGTCAAAAAAATTTTTGAATTTTTCTTTCATCATAAGAGTTCTATAATTGTAACAAAAATTTAATTAAAAGCTGCGTACATTTTATCTTTCAAATTAGTAAATGTCTAGACGTCTAGACTTTAAATTATTAGATATATTTTTTTGTTATATATTTTATTTAAATTACTTTGTCGAATTCAAATAATATAAACATAGTGTCGATTAGCTAAAATTGACTTTCTTTTTTTATGACTCTTCTGTTTCAAATTGCGAAACATGAAACGATAAGAGTTTGAAATATTGGAAATTCTTCTATATAATATCGCGGGAGAAATCACGATCCCCCCCGCAGACTCTCTTATAATTTAAAGCAACGCGATCTTCATGCCAGAGATACGCCGCAACTCCGATATCGAGTCACCATTTATCAAGGTAAATCCATAATCCCGACCGCGCGCAATCTGTGACAAGAACATCCCCGGAAGAGCGGTTGGAAAAGAGGACACGAAAAACCGGCACGGCGCGGATAGAAAAGAGGGGCGGAGACAGAGGGGAGAGGAAGAGGACAGGGGAAAGGGGGTGAATGGAAAGCTCAGATATTGTTTCGCGGACTTTCGATCCTCGACATGACGCGCCAACATGTCGCTCCGCTCTACGTTCGCCTACGTAGCCTTTCGATTCTCGCTTTCGTCGTAGCGCCCTTAAATCTATCGAATCCCAACCCCTTCCTCTCGCCCTTTTCTTCTTCCCCCGCCCCCTTTCCGACATGGACGAGTGCGCGCGATCTTTTTATCCTGCTCTTCGCGTCCCGTTTACACCGGCGGTTTAACGGTTAATCCTTCGAGCTTATCTGATTGCGTGACTTCAACGAGAAGCTCGAGCACGCCGGGATAACATCGCGCTTCCTCGTCCGTCCTTTACACGACAGCGCGATAAAATTGCCGTCATTAGGGTTGCACGCTCGCAAGCAAGCGGGGGTAGTTAACTCGCGAATATCGGACCCCTGGCTTTGTCCCACTTGTTACGTCGTTTTATCCGTCCTGCGATTAAGTGATAAAGATAAACCGAAGGCGAGACTTCTTTTAGGAAAAGAAAGTCTCGCGACGGAAGTTTTGCATATGTGTCATTATTTATTCATTTTTTTGTTTCGAGAACAATAAACACAATAGTGCGATTCATCTTTCTATTCCTTCCTGAGTCTCTCTGTTGAATTAGTGATTTGTATCGAGGTATAGTCTGACGCAGAGATGTAGACTGAGATTGTACGGCCACGTGTGTGAGAATCCGTATTATAATTTTATGCGCGCTTTCGTTGATATCTCTCGCCGGAAATTTTGCTCTGATCATGTAGAGTTTTTGCTGTAATAACACATCAGATGCGTGTAAAGCTCATAACGTGTAATGCGACGATAACGCATGTGTATAATTATTCTTTTATATTAGTATAAAAAATTTTTACACGGGTGTAATAACTTATACATCGTACATAAAAGTTTCGCTCTGCAAGGATGTTAATTAAATTATCATTGAAACATTGATATTGTTTATTTTATTATTTATTATATTATTTATTATATTATTATTTTAGGAAATATACTGGGTGTCCCAGAACTGGTGGAAAAGTTTTATGTCAGATTTCTAGTATTATTTGATTTTCCTTAGTGAAAATGTTGAGAGAGGCCATCATTTTTAGCATGTTCCTAATTTTGTTATTATGTATCTTTAATATAACTAAGCCTTATATTAAAATTCTATTAAAGCAACTCTACTTAAAATTGAACTGAAGAATGTAGTTCTCTTAATATTTGATTACCACAAAGTTTAGTTTCCAAAAAAGCTCTTATTTTCAACTACTTATAATTCGGAAATTATTGGTGTCTCGACATTTTCGCTGAGGAAAAGTCGTCTTCGAATGATACCAAGAATCTGCCATTAAAAACTTTTGCCAGTTCTGGGACACTCTGTATATATATATTTTTTTCTAATACATACATAATGTATTGCGATATGTTTTTGAAAATATTAAGCAATGAAAATTACATGAACATTACACTTTTTATTCAATGAAACCATAAAGTAGTAAAGCGCATATTACGCATCGTGTCCTTTGTGAATAATCAACATTAATGCCAAAAACAGAGAATAATTTTGTGAGTACGTACTATATATTGCAATATTACCGTCATTCGATCAATATCTATTCATCGTTTATTTAAAAGCGCGAGATTGAGTGTAATGAATCGTATCTGTCACATTTATTAAGTACATCATTTTATCGATTTTCTATATCATTTATTATTTTTATAATCCACGATGTACGTATATCAATGACGATCAAATCTGGCATGTCATTAAACAATGCCGTAAAAATATAATTTAATATTCCGACAAAATTAAACTGTCACTCTCTTGTATAAACAAAATTTTCCAAGGATTCATTTAACAAATTTTTTAGAGAAACTGCTTAATTTTTGAATCAAACTTTTGATATGCGTTCTTGTTGATTTTCTCTTCTCGAAACCGATAATATAATTTTTGCAATTTAATGAAATATCTTCCGTAATTCAGTCAATCACAAATCATGAATCAAAAATTGCAAAATATTCTGACGCATAAATGAATGAATTGATTACATTTGGTCGCTGTTTTATACTAAGCGCAGCCTCGTAACGCGCTCGCAAATTCGCCGAGTTTTTTCTCGCGCTATAAAGTGGAAAATTATGTGACGGAATCCGATAAATAGAGACTGTGAAAAAAATAAGGATGCACATCACGGGAAAGTAAGCGGCAAGTTATGAGCACACTTACGGCTGATGACATACCGGCGAGAGAATCGCGTCGTCCGCGAAAAATGTGCCTTTTTTTCGTTCGTTTTTCGGTTGTAAAGAAGTGTCAGCATACACGTCGTAAATGGATCGTAACGTTCAATCAACGTGAGAGGAATTATGAGGCGCCACTCATGACGACTTATTACCCTCGTAGCATCATCCACTATACTATACGATGCACGGGATTATTCGTGCTTCGACCGCTTTAATGCATGTTCGCTATTAATTTATATAACAAAAAATGTAATATATATATATATATATATATATATATATAATAAATATATATAAATTTTATAAATCCTAGAAAAGAATAGAAATATCGATAGATTTTTTAATAAAATTTGAAGCTCTTGCAATTTTAATCGCTTTTTTTCCAATCGGTTTTATTTTTCCAATTTTGTAAATTTTTGATGATCATCAAATAATCAAGTAATAATAAATTACTATTATTATCTTTGAAGAAATGTTAGATATCTTTAATATTAGATCCTTCGATTTTTGATATACGTAACATCTATAGAGTGTAAAGTTAATGCTATAAAATGACAATTTAAATTTAGAAAGAGAGGTAAAAGTGATCAGATTGGGAAGAGAGAAAGATAACAGATTCGTAATCACGTTTCAACCGATATATCGTAAATTCATGTACTTAAAAAATTACTGACTCAGATATTTTATGGATATATGCCAGCGCGGTCGGTGATGGTATTTCACGGGCACACAATGCAAGCGCGAATTCCATAAATATTGTACAGAGAGTACAATATTATCTGCATCGTAAAATAACTTACGGTTATACGACGAAGAGAGACGTGACTAAGAAACTGCGAAAATTCCGATCTGTCTCCCGGCATCGGTCTCTCTGATATCTTAAATAATAAAACTCGAGAAGGAACTTAATTTTGCAAATACCGATATCTTCTTGTAGGTGATGGTCGCGTGCGGTTTCTTCGAGATAAATTCCTGAGATTACCAAAACGACGAGTTGACGTTTTTAACGTCTTGCTAATCTTTTTTAGATTACACAAGCGCGAAACATTCCTGTTCAGATTCACTTGGTTGGACTTTTTTATTAAATTCTTTTTATCTATGCCACATAATTCACTAAATTATATACATGTAGGTAGCGAAGAAATAGTGAAAATGAAAAAGAAATGAATAAAAATGTTTCGACTTTTATAAATGAGGGACTGTTATTACACTCACGCTGCTTCAATATTCTTCTCTCGCAATAAGAACAAACAACACAGAAACAAGCAAACACCTAATTCTATACGTAAATCTAACCGCTCGCCATTCTCGCGGCGACGTATCGTTACGGGACGACGAGAAAAATACCATCGTGTTACGTAATGCGCGAGACGATCGTTGCCGTCGATCGTTCCTGCGAGATTGCGACGTATTAAATCGCGCGTGTAATGGAAACGGCGATGTCGCAGTGATACGCCATACTTTCTCGCCACCGAGATACGTGCAGCTGCGACCGCGCTAAGATACAAACCTGGGCTATTTCCGACCCCCTTTCTTAGAAAAATACTTACTTTCACTTTTGAAAATTTTAAGTCGTACATAACATTTTTTAAAATGTGAAGACATGAAATTCAATACCTTCTTTTAAAAAAGTTAACTTCTATTTATTTAAGGATTTATCATTCGCGATTTTTACTCATTGTCAGTAACAAAATTCATGTTTTCTACTCTTGTTGCCTAATTTTTTTAAGTCTTTTACATGTTTATTATTAATATTTTTAAAATATTTACTAAATGCATTAAAACTTTTAAAGAGAGTTTATATTAGTGCAGTGACGATTTGCACCTGACTAAAGTTTTTGAAGATTTCTTCCTAGCTTGCAAAGAGATTTCTTGTCCTTGAGACGTATTATAACAGTTGAAACTCACCGTAAAGCCGGATGTTTCCCTCGGCATCGCCGATAGAGTTTTTCGAGATGCATTTGTAGCCACCCAGATCGTGCTTCTGCAGGTTCATGATCACTAGTCGCATCTGTACGCTGTACACCGATGTTTTTACCTCGGACATCGCGTATTTACTGTTGCTGATTATCATTTCATCTGCAAAAACACGTTTCAGAAATTAAATATATGTAAAAAAATCAAAGTGAAAAATTTCATGTTTTGGTACATACTTCTATTAGTGACAGAAAATATTATATTTACATTTGTGTAAATATGCTATACAAATAATGTTTTCATCGATCAAAAATACTTGAAATATTTCTGTATCAAACTAATAAGGTATTTACTCTCCAAATTAACTACTAATAGCTACTAAATAGAGAGCCATTTAATTTCATTTATTGATTTTACTCTCCAAGTAAATCGAACGATAAGAATTGTACTGATTGTGCTGTTCTATTACCCGTTTCTCGAGTCCAGTAATTAATGGCCTTAGGTGACGCTTCCACGTGACAGACCAACGTGACGTTAGTTCCAACCGGAGCTCCGACCAGCTGGTTCGGTACTTGGACCATCGGGTGAACTGCAATCCATAACAACTCGATCAGTCGCAACATCACCCGATCAGGCTTCAGACAACAATAATACTGCCGACACATTTACCGCTATCATCTGTGCGCGCACGCGTACGTGCGAGAACTAATTTCTCTAATTGAACGTCATCGTCTAACGCCACAAAGGATATTTTTTCGATTTCTTTCAAAGCAGAGATTTCGGGATACGACGTTACTTGCGCAATCCAATCGCCTTACTTCGCCGTTACGTTGTGGTCCCTTTGTGCGAGTGCGTCATTAGTGAGCTGCGTGAGCACGTCACGCTAATGAAACACGCTGACAGATTGTCATTTAGCAAGCGAGCAGAAACGGGCACTCTTTGTCTCTATCCCTCCCCCATCTCTTCTTATCTCTGTCTCTCAGTCTCTCTCTCTTTTTCTCTCTCTTTTCTCTCTCACCCTCTCTCTCTCTCTCTCCCTCTCTCTCTCTCTCTCTCTCTCTCTCTTTTTCTCTCTCTCTCTGTCTCCTGATAACGTCTCGCTACCTTTCGTTTCGAATATCGTAAGCAGCTTTCTGTGAGCTGCTTACGTTTTAACAGGCGACCGCGCCGAGCACTTCTTCCGACCAAAGCTCGGCCAACGTTGTGTCGTCACAAAGCGCTTACAGTGCGTTTTACAGCGGCTACTTAGCCCCACTGCAACGTGAAATTGTGTTCCCAGGAAAATCTGTATCCCATTGAACTCTCTCATTTCTGACATACTCTAAATATAATATATATAAGAGAAATTTCTCTACATATCATGAATATTATATTCTATGATATTGTCCGATCTTATTCGTCGTCGATGATGAAATTGATATAGTCGCTTATTGCGTTATATTTAAAAACAAGATAACAAAATTAATTTGTTCAATAATGATGAATAATAACATGCCAGAAAATAATATAAAATTATTCTCTTTTATTAGTTTTGCACAAACTTGAGTCAACACACAGCGAATTTAAATCGTTTCACGATAAAATTTATATGAAAATATTTGACGAAACATAAAAACTTTATATATGTAGATATATTTTGTATAAAAGAGGAATATCAATTTTTAGGAGACGATATGTGATACAGTCATATCCAGCTATCGTTTCAATTTTCTTTTATACGATATGGCATATGTTCCTATAAGACGTTTAAAAAACATCTTATCATCTTTTAGAAATCTTTTTGCATTTTTGTATGTTAAAAGAGAAACGAGGATGACGACATAAAGATAATATTCATTTGCATAAAAAATCCCGAATAACAGACTATCTTATATTCATACAGTAAGTTCTAAAACTTGTCTAAGGATGATTCTGTATCGGCGTCATTAAATGATATGACGTTTTTGTCGGATCATACTGAAGATTAAATCGGCAATACTAACAGGGGCGGGTGGCGATATTATGTGCGTGTGATAACAGAAAATTAAGATGATGGCGCGAGATAAACTGGCCGTTTCCTCGTCGAGTCTTTGGTCGACTCTTTATCTCGCGCGCCGCTTGGGAAATATATGCGTTCGCGCCGCGCTTGTGCACACCGAAGATCCCGGGGTAGCACCGAAACGACACTTTTATATGAGAAAAGGGAATATATACAAGAGCGTCGGACGGCGCGCGGAGAATAGCCATAAGTCAGATATATCGACATCCCCTGGTGTAAAAATCCGGTAATTTCGATGTTGCGATTTTCACGGAAAAGTGCGTTGTTTCGCGCTCTATTTGAACAAGGAACCTCGATTTTGCCAGACCGAAATCCAACGATACGAGATCGCCGATGTATGAACAGTTGCGAGGCGATTACGAATAATTAGCAATTATCAGTTATACCATAAAACGTGGATGAGCAGAGAGAAAGTGCGGGTACGAATGATCAAAACGCGAAACACAGCAACAACATCAACAATGGGGGCACTTGGCGCGTTAATTCGAACGCGCGGATTCTCAGCAATTCCGGGGCAAAACAATTATGCGCTGAATTGAATTACGTTTTCTCCCCTAAGTATAACCGCGCGTTATAGCGCGAGAATTGATTTATGAATCCCTTCTGGCCGCGACAGGGGAAAGAGAGAGAGAGAGAGAGAGAGAGAGATCGCGAGAGAGCGTGTTTTAATTGTTTCGATTTGCCGGACGTGTTTCGCACAAATCCGTCCCCGTGATCCTCCGGCAGATTTACGCGCAAACTTTCGATTCGTCCGCAACAGCACTGATTTCGCGCCACGCGGCGTATATAGTGATGAATATTCGCGCTGGGAATTCTTCGTGTAACGTTTAGCCTGGTACGTGACGATAGGCGACGCGTTTGCTCGGATAACAAACAGCGAGATCGCTCGACATTACTCTTAATTGTGAATGAGTCCCGCGGACTCGAAACTCGGACGAAGCGCAAATACGTTTCGACATGTCGGCGCTGGACATTTTGCCACCAAGCAATTGTACGGGATGCAAATTCTCTCTGCGCATTCCGCGTGCCAACTGTTTATTGATAAACACATCCCCCGACGTAAAAAAATATTCCTAGCAATAGAAATATATCAGAGTCCTCGATACATACAATCGATAGCTTTCCGTATATAAATACGGTTTTTGATTATTGAATTCTTCAACTTGTATATATAATATATGTATATGTTATGTGTGTATCTCAGAATAATTTTCATAGTTTTTTTTATTGAACTGTTTCTTTCTAATGAAATATAAATGAGATCCTTTCAATGCGCGGATTTCAGCGCTAAATTAAATATAGTATGTTAAAGAAAAATCAGTTTGATTGACAAGTCTATCATTTATTTATACTTTAAAAATTTCAAAGATTCATGTGATATAAAAATATATATGTTGGCACAGACTGCACAATATGTTTAGCAAAGAGTATTTTCGAGAGTATCGCTTGTTTACGTATGCAGTAACGTGTGCAAGTTCACGATGCGGTATCATCGATAAATATAGCTATGCCAAAATAAACTGTTGGAGCATCAATCAAATAAGTTTGCGGATATCTTTGCTGCGAAATGGACGGGCGATCGATCTGAGGTGAAGGACAGAAACAGAGGAGTACAATCGAGCACGCGAATAAAGTATGAGCAGGCAGGCTAATTTCTTTCGGCGCCTCCGCTAATTAAGCGAAGCGAGCCGTCCTCAAAGCGCTTATAATGCGGTCTGTGGCGTGAAATTGCATTCGTCGCGTTCATACTCCAATCTAATGCGGTGTAACAATTTAATGCGGCGTAATAATTTAATGCATTACGCAACGCGCGATTCTCGATATCGCGCAAAATCCTCTCTAAATAGATGGTTCCCGCATCGATTCGCAACACGATCGAGTTGAATGATGCTTAAAAAGTAATATTCGCTGCGGTAAATCTTTGCTGTCGAGCTGTAAAGTGAAATCCGTGTCACTTTTCAAGAGAGAAAAATTAGATATTCGACGAGAAAAAAAGTCGAGAGTTGTTTAATTAATAGCTCTTAATTTATCATATAGCACATTTTCTCTGATCCAGAGTATTTTAACGAGCAGCAAAAATTACAAGAGTTTATCTTTAGCATGCAAAAACCCGACCGCTACTCGTTTAAGCAAACGATTAATTACAGAGAATTAGATGAGTATTATATTATACGCAAGAGGAGTAATAAAATTACCCAAGTTTAATTTATCGCAATCCGCGTAAACGATATTTTTATCATCATAACGGAAATACACGCTGGCAATACATGTGTATGTGTGTGTGTAATCCCGAGATAGTGACCGTGACGATATTAAGTCCACTTAAAACGAACCAATAGCGACCCGACATAAAGTCAACTTACAAGCGTTAGAGAGGCTTGTTATTGTATTTCCGGGTCAACAGAGCGGGCAACTTAGCCACTGTGTACAACTTCGGGTGGATGGGAAACTCACGCGATCCGCGATATAGAGGCGAGATTTTCTCTCGTCTTCGCAAAGGACCCAGCATCCGATATTTCTGCGGTGATAAGATAACGCTCGATCCTTTTCTACGGCGCTAGCGTACTGTAATGGCTCTTTGTTAAGAGCCGGTGGTGTTAAGACACCACCGTGTCTAGACTCCGCGGCGTTACGTTATTTCCGGTATTGTGTTGCGGCATGTCGCGTCGCTTTTCCCAGCGGTCTCGTTCTTTCGTGTACAATGATATTTATCTAACGCGTAATTACGCGTCCGAGTTCCATGGAAAAGTCGCAAATGGGAAGAGAAAGAGAGAGAAAGTCGCGGGAGATGCAACGGAGAAGTTAAAATGTTGGGACTAAGTTAAAACCGGAACGGACGGCGGGGTGTTTAAAGTTTCCGAGTAAAGTTCAGCTTGTCACATCTTGCAATGATTAGATCAGGGCTCGGTCTCTCTCTTTTCCGAGTCCTTAACTAGGAAGGAACTTTCATTCTGTCGTCGCGTGGATGCCGATGACGAGCGGGCGTGAGTCGCAATTTTACTTACTCTGAAATTACTTACTATTTATGATCAATATTGATATCAACATTTCTACGATGACTGCGAAGAGATTTATATTTTATATTTATATTTTAACACAAGTAACTCAATTATATTTCTGTCAAATATTAGACTTACGATAGAGTTTCATTGCGGTCATTAAAACAATAATGCTTTACATTTTTTCTCAGAAATTATTTATTTAACAGATTTGAAATTTACATAGAATATACATTTATATAATCTCCACTTCTATAACCTTATGTCAGCACGATAAAAGAGCATATTTACCTTTAATGTATCTCTTGTTTTGTCTACATAACTATCTCGCGAAGTGCATTTAAATGGTCTAAAAAGTTGAATATCAGAAAATTGGATATCTATGCGATAAAAAATTTGAGGATGACGAAATTGCGATTCAAGTAGTGAGGATACAGCTACGTAAACAAGAGCAAGAGCTGGTGGTACAGTAAAGGCAAACATGCACTTGTATCGTAAGGCTTGCATAGAAATTTAAGATGGAGATTATATTGAAAAACAATATATGTAAAGAAGAAACCACCATGTATATCGTGTATAAATTTTAAACTTGTTGAATAAATAGTTTCTGAGAAAAAATACGGGGCATTATTTTTTGAACAACCCTAGTATAGTCAGTAACGTAAAATTTTATTGAAAGTGTCAAGAAATAAAACAGATAAAACACATGTTAAAGAGCCAAACATCGAAAGTACTTGCATTGATATGTCGACGACAAAGTTGCGATCGCATAATCGCACGCGAACGACATTCGCCGATGATTCCAGGCATTCTTCCGCACTTCCAAAGGAACTTGGGCGCTTTGGCGTTCGTATCACGCGATCGTTTAAAGCAATCGGCCGTCTGCCACGGGCAGCTCCGTATCCCCGAATGAACTTTGCCACCCGCTTTGCGTTACCTGCGATACCTATGGGTATTGTATAATACTATGGGCCACTGTTGGTTGCGCGAAATTCGCGGCAATAGCTCGACGCGGCTTCATCTATGACGTATTTCAATGAGAAACTCGATTATCTCGCGCGTTCCCGCCGATCTTATCGCGGGATGCCCGAGGGCAGGTGCGAGCTCGTGTACAACGAACGTATACGTACGTACATAGGTACATCCAATTTCCGACGGAGGAAAATTACCTCCCCTCACTAGGATTTAAGATACGGTCGAGTCGGTCGTAACCAGGCGACTTAACTCGCTATCGTCACACCACGCTTCCTCCGCGATGAAGCTACTTCTTGCTGTGCTCGTCTCTCTTTTACGCTCCTTTAACGAGTATACTCTTTCTTCATGTATGAGAATTTATTTTAAAATCCAATTTCTCGTTCGTATAAAATATTCTCTAGTTCTAACTCTACTTGATTATTGATTACTGCAATTTCACCGGTACATTTCAAGAGAAATATATTGTATATATACATATATATATTTATTATTATTTTATTTTTTAAGATATTATATTTGATTTTCTTTGCCTCTTAAGAAGATGCTGATTGTATATTTTATCGACAAATATTATTTTTATTAATTATTGATTGGATATACAGAATGAAAAATCCTTTGCTAGAATTAAAATATTCATAATAACAAATCTGAGCTACTATGTGTAATGAAAAAAAAAACCAAGAAAGTTAAATAATTTAGTTTTCTTTTCGGTTAAATTAATGCAAAAAACTGAAAAGAAAATTGTAATTAACTTTGTTGTCTACTATAACTTCTACAATACGAAAAATATAGATAATCAAATCGATCCTATAAGAAATAATTTTGGAGAAATGAAGTTTTCAACATTCCTTTAATATAAGGATGTTTTCGCAAGTATCTTTATTTACTTTCTTCGTGCGATGTAGTCTTATTGTGCGCATCGTCTTCTCGCTAACCGTCTCTCTTTTACGGCTGGGATATAAACGCGGATGCGTTGTACCATCGTCGCAAGTGTAATTTTATTATCTCGCACCCCTTCCCGACACTCTCCATCATCCTGTAAAGTCTTCCCTTCACTCTTGTCGCCGTCACGCGCTTTTATTTAACCAGTATTTTACTCTTTGGTCTTTTTTCCTCCCTTTCCCATTCTCAGCCGCGGTCCTTGTCATTCTCCCGTCTCGGCTTCCTTTTTACGAAAGAAAGACCCTCGGTCCCTCTTGCCTTTGCTACAGTGAAATTATGCAAGAGAAGGTGACGATGGCTATCTCGTCGGCTACAACCGACGCTTTTCTTCGTCGTTGCCGCCGCGCCTTATATTCACCCCCTTCGAGACGTCTCTCGTTTTACACCGAGAAGTATGTCTCGTGCGGATAAGGCTACTGCCGACAGTTCGCGGGATTTACACCTCTCGGACGATTGCTCGAGGAAACATTCTGGAGCTCGAGAAATTGTGACGCTATACTACGGCCAGTAAAAAAAAAGAATCTCGACTACCATTCTTCGCGAACACGCTAGTTCTATTTTTGTCTTACGACCGTCTTTCGCGGATTGTCGCGCGCGCGCGTTTAGTTACAGGCATTAACGAGAGCTCTCAGCGATGCGATGGCACAAATTTATCAAGTTTTAAAATATTTGCTTATGTAAATAATTCGTACTGTTTATTTAATGAAATATTTATTTGATTATTATTTGGATTTAATGTAATGCGAATTATTTATTTCATTAACTGTGAAATAAATTAATAATCATAGGAATTAAATTAATAAATACTCGTTAAAATATTCCGCAAAAATGTTGCAGTAATGATTTTTATTCATAAGATGTTTTACATATCCAATATTTACTTATGCATTTTTATTTTTAGTTAATAAAAGATTCTGTAAGAGATAAGCTAATCAGTTATGGATGAGTGAGTGAGCATATTAATTAAAGATTAGCTGAAAGCTCGTGCCAGTGGTATTTCATGAAACATACATACGACTTTATTGAACACAGCTGTAGATTTATAAATTTTAATCTGTAAAGCTCGCACGAGATTTTTTTATGCAGCTTGCTTTGTAATTTATTACAAAGCGTCCGCAATGTTTACTTTATAAATTTTAATGTATCCTTTGTGCTGAGTTATCGCGAGAAATTGCGCGGTCCCTTCGTTATTTTTCACTTGATAGCACTTTGTGATATTTGAAAATTTAGGCAAATCTTGCTGCGGCGTTTCAAAATTATCGACGAAAGATGTCGAAACATTTATATTTGTGGTACGGAAAAATATCCTTCACGGCGAATTCGCGTGTGTTTGTTAGAATAATAAATGTATTCTTAATGATAGACGTATTACTTACAGTGCACGTGCAGCATCATTCGTTTGCTGACTGACGGAGGGACTCCGTTGCTAGCGATGCACAGGTAGGTGCCCATCTCGCCTCTCGTTACTTTCGACAAAGTCAGCGTTTCGCCTCCTGCAGTAGGTACTGCAATATGCAAGCGCAAGGAATGGTTTCAGAAGTTAGCTCGTTACGCGTAATCAAAGTGTACAACGTTAATACTTGATTGACTTAACAGTTTCAACTTATACGCGCAGACGCAGAAATGTCAACGTGGAAATTTATCGTGCGCGTGTATTATCCATGTAATTAATAAAAAAAGAATTAAATCTATTTCTAATTTAATTTAAAGAGTAAATTCGCGGTACTAAATATATAAAATTTATTATTGGAACTAATTTCGGGAACAAATTCTTTGAATTGCGAATAAAAAATAAAGCATGTGTCAAAGAGAAGAGCCAGTGCTTCAATAAGATTTATATTGAGATTAATAATAAGATATATGATGATTATTTTGTGGAGGGTTTAAAAAGGAGTAATTTAAATATATTATCGATATATGGTCGCCGATTAAATTCCGATTAAAAAATCTGTTCGGAGAATGTTGCTTATCGTTCCCAAGAGAGAAGAGAAAGAGAGACTGGCGGGAAATAAAACTTGGTGTCCCTTACATTTTGTCTTGCCGCCGGAAAGGCCGGTCCGCGAAATGATTTCGGCGCCGTCTTCTCGTTTCCACACGATGTCAGGCTTGGGATAACCGCGCGCTTTGCACACCAGCTTCGCGGAACCTCCCTCGGGTACCATCATATCGTTCGAAGTCTCTTCCGAGATTATGTCTGGCGGTATTACCACCTCCAAAAACGCACTCTGCAAATGCATGAAGATAATAAATTATTACACACGCGTGCATATATAGCGAAAAGGAAATACAGAATGTCACTAAATATATAAAGAAAGCACGGATCGAGTTAAAGCAAAAATTTCCAGATATTGTAATTAAAAATTAATGAAATTGAAGTGAAATTTAGAATTTCTCTAATTTCACTTATTGTTAATAATTATCAATCGTTAATATCTATTTTCTATTAAAGTGTAAGTAGTCTTATTCATGAAATTATATATTCTCTTCTGCAAAACAAACTTTGCAACTTCTTTATGCAAAACGGAAAGTACATACCTGGCTTTTCATAGGGTCCGTATTGATCTGGCACATGTAAATCCCGCGATCTTCTCGACGTGTTGAGCGAATGATTAACGTCCACGTATTGGTGTCTCTGTGGGTCACCTGTAGACGGGCGTTGTTCGTAATCACGTGTTCGTGAATCGCCAGGATCGCCTTGGTGTCCGCCTTGATCCATGCCACCTGGCCTCACAAACCCATTTCTTAGATACAGCGGAATTTTTTTCATGTTAATTCGGAAAAGCCTGCCTAATCTCATCGCTATGCGTAACTCGTTAATTAACGATTCCTTTCTCCGCTGCGAATCTAATTAGCGTCTATCTCGTGAAATATTTTGCTATATTGTGCTAGAGTTTTCGCTCTTATATTTTAATCAACTATTTCAGTATCAGATTTGGCATGCAATTTTTTTAGAATTTTTTTTTTTTAAATAAAAATTCGATTCTTGATGTAAACGAAGAAAATGACATTTGACTGGTTTTAAAATGACACTAGATATAAATACTGAAAAAGTTAATTACTGAATATAGTTCGAAAATGATTCTGTATATGCCGATATACAGAATATCGAATTTCCTATTAATTAAAGCAGTTTCCTACCTTCTTTTTTTATCATCTCTATACGTCGATTTCTCTTAAAATGTTCGCAAGTACAATATCTTAAGCTTTCTGTTCGATTGAAATGTGAACCCGATTACGAGATGACGTACCTCTGTCGCTGTGCGTAGGATGAGAAATATAAATATGGGACGCGCATTCTCTGTTCGCGAATGAATGAAATATTCGTATACATCATCTCGAAGGCAGGCATCAGAAGCCGTAAGTGTATTCTACAAAAGAACCTTCTCTTTATGGCAAAGTCTGCTTCGGCTTTTCCGTCGCATAGCTCGTCAAGAAAACTGTACCGTTGCGCGCCACGATGGTCTGCCGCTGTGTAAATATGAAGAATTCCGTGAGCAAGAGCACGATAACCCGCGGAACGTTTCAGAAAAATAAAGATAGATAACGGTCGCGAAAGATAACGGTTTAGTACCAAAGTTCAGCTCTCGCAGGATGTAACATTATGTTTACATCAAACTCGAGCGAGCTTCATATTAGGTATAAAAATAGTATAAAAGGGATGGAAATAACCATCAACCAAAGAAATATATTTCGTCCGTATTTCTCTCTCTCTCTCTCTCTCTCTCTCTCTCTCTCTCTCTCTCTCTCGCGTATTGATATAATTCAGAGGTTCTTCACGCTCCCGTAAATGTTCTGCAAGTTATATTACTTCTGAAGTAACTATCGTGACTATTCCGAATGTGGGTTACCGCGTTTTCGCTCGCAATCCTTCGTATCATCAACGCTAAATTGAACTCTCACTGGTTATTGCAGTTCGCCGCTGATATACGCCATTAATTAAACCCATTCTTTTACGGATTAGAATATAATGAAGAAAGGAAAAAAAAGCGGAGAGGGAGAGTGGAGAAGGAGGGAGGAAACGCAATTGTGGTTAACACGTATTAGTCATAAATCCGCCTTCCAGCCTCGGTCGAAGGTATTCTGGTAGAGGAAACTGCAGCGTGGCGTATCGCGAATATTCATCCTTCTCCCTCCCCTGTTCTCTGGCCTATTCGTCTCCCTCTGCACAGATATTATTGGCATGAAATTGAACCCGTACCATGTCGAATATCTGACCTCGCATCGCTCTGAAAGGCTATCTATCAACCGACAAAGGAGTTCCGCGGTTCTTATCGATAACCCGCGAGAGCGGAGTGTATAGAGGGCAGACGCCGAGAGATGAAGAGGGACGGTTATACGGGAGGGAGGAAGGAATGGGATGCGAGAGAGGGTGCGAGTGTTTGGTAGTGACGGCCCTGTGAGTGCCTTCACTTATAATATATTATGCCGGAATATATAAGTGCGACCCCATTCTCCCTTTCGGTGCGCCCAGCGATCTTCCGGAGCCACCCTCTCGAAAAAGAGGATGCGGAAAAGTCAGCGGGCGATAGATGCTCGCAACTCTTTCGACGTTTATGCTATATTATCGTCAATTCATTCGATGATTCATTGTTGTAGATCGAAAGGAAAAAGGAGGAAGCGCTAGAAACGATTTAAGATTATTTCTTCAAAATAAAAAGATTCTATACGTTTTTACTTTAGAAGAGTATAGGTGTAAGAAAAAACAAAGAAAGTATTCAATATTTTATTAAATTTAAAATTTATCTAAATTATTTATAGTTAATGCGGCGAGGGAGAAATATTAATGTGACAATTCGGAACGCCAAATTGAAGGAAAAAAAAAATGTATACCGCAGATATTGGCAAGTAAAATCGATTAGAAAACAGTTTCTTCACGGAGTCCTTATTTCACAGAATCCTGTGACAGAGACTCCTGGCGAATACCCGATATCAAAATCGGTTGGAAGCGAGAGAACGTATCCATAGCAACGCGAGCGGGATAAGGTCGCGTGAAGCACCAGCGACGACAACGAAGCGTAAAGCGCGGCACAATACGTTGCTTCTTCCAAATCGCGCATCCGAAAGTCAAAACTCAAAAGCCGGGTGATTTTGTTGCGTTCCCAAAAAGGAAAATCATGTTACGAAAATTGTCGTTTTTCTCTTCGAAACGTGAAGCATCTCGCGCACATTTCTTCCCGATCGAGCAGAATGAATCGCGAATTTGCAGTACAATGAAGAAGGTATAGAGGATTTAAAACAGGGAGAACGGGAGAGACGATGAAGAGAAAGGCGCGCCATACCATCGTATGGAACGAGCCTCTATTTTAACGCAAAAACGCCCTCTTTACCTAATGCAGTTTCTCTTTTCCGGATACTTTCTCTTTGCAGTTCTCCTCCGTCTTCGCCGATCTTCGTGGTCCTTTAAGGATGTAGAAGGAGAAACCGCGAAGGAACTCGCGGCAGGTAATGGAACAGACGGATAGATAGACGTAAAGAGATTCGGGGATGAGAAAGTGAGGGCGGGTAACCTCCCTAGTCCGATATAATATCGCGTTACGTACACCTATTCCTCCCTCTTTCCATCCTCCGCCTTTGGCGCCACGTTCCCTCCATTCTCGGCCCTCTTTCATATGCAAAACCATCGTCGGCGCTCCATTGTGGCGCATTGTGGGATCGGGAGCCTCGGTCCAGTCTACCACACCTCGTTTATTTCCCGCCATCTCCTCCGCGCCTCTTCAGAACCCCTTCTTCTCGAAGCTCACCCTCTCTTTATCCCTTCTCATCCCTCGCGTTTTATTCTTCTTCGCTTTCCAACACCGTCACCCACTTACATAGCGCAACTCCGTTCCTAAGTTTTTATTTTCCCGACCTTTGTCCGGCTCGCTGATCTAAGGTAACGGTTGTTCCTCTTTTTCAGCGGCGTGTAGAATAAATGGATAAACTCGCTAATTAAAAGTTCCGCTTTGCTTTTCTTCCATTCTTGTTGCCGTTGCGATGCACTGCAGAACAACTTTGTCTTTGCACGCTATAGCCCTTTCCGTACTATCAACGCTTCACGGTCGAAATTCCAGTAGCTATAGTGTACTATTTTGTAGTTTTTGTGCACAGTCGTTTCTCCATTTCGCCCTCCCTTGCTTACTGTTTTCGTTCAATGCGACGATTTTAACCCTTTCAAAATGACTTTTTCATTATTATATTTCAAGAAAATTGTACTTCTATATTTGAGATAAAAGAAATTGACAGAATTTCTTTATATAATTTGGGATAATTTAACAATAAAAAAACTTTTCTTTTTCTCGATGTTTCGAGGTAAAAAGGATATATATTTTAAAATAATTTATGATTTTTTCAATAATTTATTTTGACATAATTTACAGCTTATCTTTCTCTTGAAAGGGTCAATTCGTGAATATATAGGCGTTATACGAACGCTGCGAGTCTTTTTGCACTAAAATTTATTTTAACAATTTATATCTAATTTTATGCGTTGAACAATAATAAACATAAAGAAAAGAAATGGAAAGAAGAGTAATGAATTGTTCGATATAAAATAGAAGAGAGATCAAATTAGAAACTATAGAAAATCTATAGAATTAAATTCCGTGTATCGCGAATACATATGTTTACGAGTGCAATTGTTTGTTATGCATTATTTAATTTTAGGATATCGTGCAAAATTGGAGCGGAGCGCTCTAGAACGCGATAACGGCGGGGTTAAATGTTAGAATTTATGGCAGGGAGCACACGACGCGCGGCGCGACGCGACTCCGAGCATCGCGGCACGCTCGACGGTACAGCGAAACGCACTCATCCGCGCAGCCGCGTGCGCGGAATTCGAACGATTAACCGATCCGCGTGACACGCACGTTTCGGACGAGATTACTCGTTCTAGCGTACTCTCGCAGGGGACGTACCGGGTGACATGAAATAAACCGCGTTGGTCTCCTCCGCCATGTACACGTCGAGAATGGAGCTTAAGATTACTCGCTTCGCAAGTTACGCAATAATCGAAAGATGTAAATGAGATCAGACAGTCGCATTTAACATTATATATATATATCTATAAAGAGTCGCTATGTAGATAATATACGATTTTCGTACGTAGATTTCTTAAAATATCACATATATTTTCTACCATAATTATAAAAAATATATTCGACACAGTTGATATATAGGACATACACACATAACTTGGACGAAAGAGGAGGTTTCGTTATTCTAACTGAGTCGCTAGATTGATTTATCGTCGCTGACTAATACGCTTGAATGACCTATCGCCTCTCTGATATCTAAATTCTAATATCAAGTTACATATTTCGTTCATCTGTCTAGATTAATGCTTATTGTTAAAAACATGCTCATGCAACCTCGTATATACTCTCCATTATCATATATTCATGCATCATTGGCATGCCTCTCGCATATAGACAGGAATTTAGTGACACGCTAAGAACAATACGTATTTAGCACGATTTTGCCCTTCATATTCGGCAATTACTCAGGGGCGCATAACACGTCCGAAACATTTCAATCCTTCTCCAATGCAACTTACACCATATTTCATCTCGCACGAACATTCAAATCTCAAGTGCGTTTATGCATTGTAAACAGACACATGTGCAAATAGAAATTGTGCATTCGTGGACAAGCCGATGTGAACCTGAATGTTTTCGTATCGAAGGGAGAAGGAGAAAGAGAGACAGGTACGGCAGGACACGGAATGTTTTACGTCGATTTCGGAAAATTCAGTGCAATGACAAAAACGATTGTCATTTGCTTTGACAAGATATCGTCATCGTAGTAAATCGCAAGATATTCGAATGAAAGCTATTTTGTCTATAATTTTTTGTTTAATACCGATCACAAACTGAATCCGCAATCGGAATCAGAGATGTCTATAACATTTTCTTAAGTATAATGATAAATAATTTCGAGAGATAAAAGTAAAAGGTACTTATAAGTTAAAGAAATTAATTAATCGAAATTAATTAATCAAAATTCACAAGAGATATAAAATATTTGATTAATAGTTATATTTTTCACGTGTTTATAAATACATTATAAAAGTGAGATATAAACTTGTGAGATTATAAGATTGTATTTGATAAAGTTATAGAAGATAATTATGTTTTTTTTTTGCATATTTATGTATAATTATCGGTTTTTTTACAATCTGTGATATTGATTCATGCCCATCATTCCTGTTCTGAAATATCTTTCGAAACTTCTCGTCTTCACAGAATTTCAAGTATACTGTCATCTGTCGAGGCAACAGAATTCATACATTTTTTTTCTATATAAAGTACTATCGAATGTATAACGCGTTTTATTACATGTATAATAGAAATAATAAAATCTCAGTTCGACAAATTATTCTAATACAAAATTATAGATGTAACTTTTGCTTGATTATCGTTATCAGAAATAATGGTGGATGCTGTTGCCTGGGACAATCATTGAACTACAATCCTTGGTTTTCCAGCGGGTGCCATTAAGCATCAAAGCTTAAATCTAACAAGCGAAAAAGCTGGATACTAGGTCTGAACATCCTTGCTATAGGCACGGACTCATATTGCCCGTTTCGCGAGATCAGTTTAGAGCACAGAGCATTCAAGTTGTAAGCAATGTCTCGGCGCTCGTTAATGTCGATTTGAATGTCGTCGCCCTGTCGGTTCTCATTCAAATTAATGAAGAGTGAAATTCAGTTCGACGGAGAAAGCCGTCTTCAAAGTCTGTTTTAACTCTTTTGTATCGTGATCATATTCGAGAATAGCGAAATACACGCGGGAAAAGATGAGGGTGATTTTAAATTAATATTAATGCACACGTGACCTGTAGATGCGAATAAAAGTCATAACTATTAACACTTATATTTATTATTTATCGATTATGTACCTCGTATGAAATAGTTATTTGAAAATTGTCTTTAATAATTGAAACCAAGCTACCGACTAATCAAGTGACCTAGTGAATATTAATCGATCGTAAATAGCAAATGTATCTCGCAAATTTACCGTCGTGCACGACACGCGATTAAAATAGTTCAGCAGCAACTGTATTTTTTACGATAACTGCGCTATCAATAGATAAAATTCCAGCAATCGTCATATTTCTGGTATTTTTATTCAAACTTATGGAAGATTAAAAGGATGATAAAATAGATGTGTTGAAATATCGGAATCATAATATTTCTCAAATTTCGACAAAATGGAATGTTTTAATATTATCTTCGAGAGTTGTATTTTCAGAATTTGATATTGTATTATAATAAAAGAATTTTGTTACTTATTTTGTTTGAAATTTTGTTTCGATAGTCTTCATTTTGTTTTGATAGTCTTCCTTTAACATCTCATATATTATTGTATGTACGTTATAAATAATTTATAGATTCTGTTTACTTAATTACACAAATATAAATTCCACAAATATTTACTATATCCGTAATGTATATAATAGCAATAATTTTTGTTGCAAATAATTTCTTTTTAAATTTTGATTTAATATTTAACAGGTCAAATATTAAAAAGACTTGACATATTTTGATAAAATGAATAATTGACCAATTTCAACTTGAACTATATTCTTAAAATATTCATGAAGCGACATTCACTTGTGAAATTAATTACGAATTGGTTGAAAATTTTCCTCTTGTTTTAAAAATTCCATATGCTTAATAATGTAAAAGAACGTGGAGAAAAGAAAATAAAACCGTCGCGATGATCCTTATTAGAAAAGAGCGTAAACTACCGGACGGAGAATTGTCCGACTGTGTTGTAAGAAAGAAGTTGAAACGCGGGCAAGCGCATTGCCGGAAGTAATCGCATTTTCGAACAAGTTATAAACTCTGACAGTGCCAAGTTTAATTAAAATCTACGAAGGGGTCGCGCGCGCGCGCGCGGCGTTCGACGCCGAAATTTCTTTTCATGGCGAAATGTCTCCGCGACGACGGAGGGAGAGAACCACTTGGCTATCGGAAAGTTATCGGTTCAACAAGTGGAGCCGAAAAGCGCTTAATACGCCACATCGGCGATATGTACTCGCGCGAAATCAATTTCACCACACATATAACGAGACCGTGTGATGCCGACCTTGATCAATCTTCCTTCCATTGGCGCGAATCGCTATTACCGGAAGGTGCAAAGCGAAAGTTACGCAATTACACGCGGCTCTGAATAATTGTCTACGGAACATTTCGAAAAAAAGTTTGTAAATAGCACATTTTTTTCAAGCAATTTCTTTTAATTTTAAACAACAAAAGTAATAGGAAAAATTTATCTCAGAAATAAATATAAAAGTTGTGTTAAAAGACGAAGATACAAAGAATTTCTATATTTGAAATATACGAGAAATACATATATAAAGTTTTCAATTTGAAGCAACAGCTATATCAAGATTTTATCGGTATTTTGTAAAATTAATAAATATGTGTATTATGTATACTATGTAATAAAACATTGTTACTTTTGCACAAAAATAAAATTCAACTTTTTCCAATTTTCTTTTCATTATTTCGCAATAGATGAGAGGAATTAACAGAATAAGCTGTTAAATATTATTGATAATATTAAGATGTTTTTGTAAATTTTATCGATATAGTATAGATAATAATAATAATAATTAATGTACATTTTAACAAGTCAATGCACGATGTTTGTCGTCGGGCAACAAATCGGAAGAATCTAACATGTCAGTAATATTGCACGTGGTCTTCTGGAACGTATAACTATAGAAACAAAAATTGGCACAATGTTCCCGAAAGCTATTGCCAGAAAAAAACAATAGCTGCAACGATGAATCAGTTTTCCTGCATCTATTCGGGGATCTCTCGCGATTCGAATTCTTTTCAGAGAAAGGACAAAGGTGGAGACCAATCGGTCGATCCGAATAAATTCCTTCTTTGCTAGGCAACGCTTTAATATTGATAACATCGATCTCGATAAATGTTCGATCTACTTTGCGTTTCAAATCAACCTAACGTATTAGGAAAAAATATATGAAATTCTCTCTTGAAACACAATACGCGAGCGTACGTGTATCATGATAGTACGGATACAGGTATATACTCTCTGAGGTAAATTACGATGTATAATCCCGACGATGCAATATACGAACGAGAGACTCTTAAGTTTAATAATGAGTAGACGCATGTAGTTATCGAATTATAATGACGGATAACGATACGTTGCATTCTTTTAACGCGCGTATAGGCATCATTAGCCATTTCGCGTGAGTATAACTTTGCGGTAAAGGCTCCTCTTTCTTTGGCGCGAGTTGCTGATATTTCCCAACGAAGTAAACGAAGAGAACGAGGTAGGAGAACGTGAAGAGACTATGAAAGTTCAGTTGCCTGCGTCGTAGTCGTGCGGTACCTCTATAGGTACCGCCAGCTGATAGATGAAAATGGATGTCATATACACAGAGATGGTTGGTGATGGTGGCTGCTCTGCGGCTGTGGTAGTATATATAGTATATATATTTCTTTTTTCATAGCTGGCAGTATAGTGCAGTTAAATGCAGTGCTGTGAAGTGCAGGCACGCGCGCATATAGGTGGTGCAGTAGTAGTAATAATAGTAGTAGTAGTGACAGTAGTAGAGTTAGTAGTAGTAGGTAGTAGTAGATAAGGTAGTAGTCCATTACAGGCGGACACAGGTTAATGGTAAAATAGTTACCCGGGGCTTGACGCTGCCAGAGTGATCTCCGCTCGCGGAGGAGGAAGGACTCACCCGGTATCCACCGAGGTTGTTCACCACGCAGGTGAAGGTAGCGTCTCGACCCTGCGGGATCGTTACGTTCTCCAGCGGGTGCGCGAACTCTGGCTCTAGCCCCGTCACTGAAACGAAACATCATCTTAGTCGTCGGATTGTCGAGTTTCTACACTGAACAAAAAATACAATACTGCTTAATAACTAATAATATTGATTTGATGTGAAAAATATTTATATTTAATATAAGAAAATCCTTTTCAAAACATATAAATTATTTATTTGTTTCAGATAAATGATTGATTAGGCAATATTAAAATAAATATTTATTAATTTAATCATTTTTTTTTCAATGTAATAAAAACAATGTTCCATTACGTCTAAAATTGTAGATTCGAGTGAAAGTTGAATATTGATATGTTTGCGAGGTGAAGACAAATTTAATTTAATTAGGTATGTATTTGAAACACGCCTGATTAAAAATCACTCATCTTAAGTATCTCACTTTGATATGATGTAAAAATTAATGACATGCATTTTTGACAAAGAACAGTCGGAAAATCGCGGTAGTTTCGCGAAAATATCCCGGGGCGCTTGCGCACGGAACGCGCGAGATATTTTATGTCGCGTTATATATTCATGGAAAAAAACGGGCCTTTGTAGAAAGTTTGGCGTTATGGAGCATCCATATAGCTATCTCATAACAGAAACTATCGCGTGCTCAGCGCGAATGCCTAAGTACCGGCGGATTTTTCGCAAACCGCTTAAAACTGACAAACGAATCGGCGACGGAATTTTGGAGGCAATTTTTTTCACACTTTCGAGCTATTTATAAATCCTTGAAAGAGAAATTTGACTGTTATTTTTATGCGTATTTGACGTTCACTAATATAACAATGCGACATTTACAATAAAATTATTAGAGAGAGAGAGAGAGAGAGAGAGAGAGAGAGAGAGACAGAGAATAACGATAATAACATTTCAAATATAAGACTTCCAACACATTTATTTATTTAAGAGAAGTTTAAGTCGTCGAACACGCAAATCGTTATTTCCTCTGTACAATCTCACCAAATCACTGTTAACATATTCAGTGGCGGCACTAAATTAATTTGTGGAATGGAAATAGTTCGTTAATGGGACCCACTGCGGATACATGTATTTCGCAAGCGGTAACGATCCGAATCGATAACATTTAGCCGGTTTACGATGTAAAAGTAATCAACGCGGAATTAACACCTGTCGCACGTGAAATAGTTTTCCGAGGCAAACTTTATCTCGGAACCTATATTTTGTCAGTAAACGATACGCTGAAATTGTCGAAAATGTCGCTCGTTTTGCGTAAAATAGTATGCTATTTTTTTCGGAATTATTTTCTACTTGAATTTTTTATATTTTTTATATTTTTATAAAAAGCTCGTGACTAATATGCGATAAATATATTATCAAATTATTTCAAGTATATTATGTTTTTGTAACGTTCGTTATTTATTAAATTGTGATATTTAATATATCAATTATATACTTTTTCTCTCTGTTATAGTTGTACTTAATTTATAAATTCTTGTATAAAAAATTATAAAGTCAATAATTCTCTACTTGCTACACGCTAATCTAAATACGTACACACGTTTTCAATCGTAAATGGTGCTTTAGTCAATCTCATAAAAAAAAGAATAACGATTCATATCCAATGCAATAAGATCGGGGAATTTTCGAATAGCGACAATAGCGAAGGCAATACAGGAAATTGGTAAGCTATGTGATGGAAATTCTATCGACTATATTTTTTTTCACCACGGTGTGTGTCGAAGGACACAATCGCTGCTATAGCAGGATTTAATATTGGAAATTGAATCTCTCTGTTATTTTTAGTACTTACTTTTGAACGAATTTACACATTTTCACCATATAGCATTTCATGTGCAATTCAATAACTATAATTCTTGCACATAGGATTTTTTTGTAAACCGATATTAATCAATATTATACAAATTATAATATATAAATCTAAATCATAAAAAAGGCGTAAAGAGCCATACGCGGATGTTGCTGCGTATATTTCGAACGAAACTTAAGTTTTCGTTGGAAATAAACCGTGCACAAGACACGTATTATTCTCGGTGTACTACCAAGACTTAAAATTTGAAATAATCTCATACTTGAGATTTAATTTCAAAAACCCCTTAACCCCCCTACGGAAATAAATAAATAAATAAATGCGAGAGAAAATATATATTATTTCCAACGAATAACGAAACCTTAACTTTCGTTGGAAATGTACGCAGCAACATCCGCGTATGGCTCTTTACGCCTTTCTTATCATTTAAATTTATATTTAATATATTACAGAGCCGTAATTTAATCTTAGTTGTATAATATATAACTTTATTGTTTATTTTTAAATTTCCTTTATAAAAATTAAAAATATGAATTGTAGTATTCCATAATTCCATTATAACGATTTTTAATATTATTGTGTTATAATATTTATTACAATTTAAAAAAAAGTAAAAGTATTTGATGAAATGTTTAACACAGAAAATATAATCGATATTTGTCGAATTATAACAACAAAAGTTTCTACAGTGTCGATGTGCTTTAACAACTCTTTTGACATGGAACATTTTATTTAGTTTGCGAAAGAAAGCTGAAGTATTGCCATAATATATCATAGTCCATTATGTAATTGCGGTTGCAAAAGAGGCGTTTCGAGATAAAGAGAGATTCAATATGATGCACGTCTGCTGAACGATACAAAGAAACTGACTTACGAGAAAAGTTTGCCCGTCTCTTTCGCGCGAGAAGAACCTCCGCGTATCGAATTTAAATTCACGGCTGGCAGTAGCTGGTATCGTCTAATGTAACTTGGTTATGTGAATTTTATGAGACCAAATGGAAGGTGGGAAAAACGCGTCTTATGAAAGTTGCTGATCGATTTATCTGACATTCTCATGGTGACAGACGTGACTAAAAATAGTTCCGCTATCTTCGCTCTTCTTCGATGCTCCAACGTTTTTATAATATATGTATGTGTGAAAATTGTATTGTAATATATTTTATATAGACACAAAATTCTCCTTTTCTCTCTTTTTCATCAAGAGATTATATCAACAGATTATATTATTTTTTACGTACGATATATAGAGGAACCGTGATAACCGCTTTTCGGACGATTATCGTCAACAATTATTGCGAATGTTATTTTAAAAGGCCAGTTGCTCGACTGAGAGTACCACTCTTCGATATTACCGGCATTGGTATGCAATTACAAATTACGAATTAACGTTTTAAATATAATTAATCCATTTCGCGCTGAATGTAAAAGGATAGCTCATTACTAAAACGTCGACAGCTATTTATTTTCATGGACGCTGAAAACGGATGAAAGCGAGTGGATATTTAAAATGAGATACTTTATACAGCTCTATATTTATGACGTCACTTTTGTGACATTAATATAATTGGTTACGCAGATATAAGCGCGCTGTAATTTCTCGCAATGGTGTGAGATGCTATACTTTAAGGAAAATGGCTTTTCCTCCTGAGGAATGAATTTTACAGTCACGGTGTGACGAAGATGTAGGACATATCGCGGTGTGCCACGAGAAGCCGGCAACTTCGTCGGCTGACTTTTACGAGGATATTTGAAGAGTGACGTACATACATACATATAAACACTGAGCAACTCTGCACGTTTGTAAAACGTATCGCGAAATTTCGTGCTAAACACGCGTCGGCGGCTGAATAAATTGAAACAAATAGAATTACCGTCACTGACGGTAAATATTATAACGCCATTTCTCTCAATGAGTCTAACGAGAAGTCTTTGACATGTTGCATATGTGTTTGTGGAAAATATTCCATTTCCATATTTCCATTTATCGTAACATGCTTATCGTATTCAATGCCAATTTGAACGCGATAAATATTGTTCTTCTATTTTATGAATTATTATATTAATTTTCCCAATTTTATATTGACACAATATGTAAAGAAAGAATATATGTGTGATTAAATATATTAATATATTAACGCGTAAAACTAACATAAAAATACTTGCATATGTATGTACTATACATATGTATGGTATCTGTATGTATATATATATGCACGATGGAATACAGTAGAAAATTAAACAAAAATGTTGGAAAACAACTCAATTAATATTATTAAACTTCAAGTAATATTAATCCAGTGATTTTAAAATAAAATCTAGCGAATCCGTTGCAAATTGTGGCACTTATGGGCATAAAGCAATTAAATTAGTAAGACGAGCATTGCGCCGAAACGCTAGCACTTTATGCGGAGGAACGGCCCCGCATAAATTGCCCTCGCCTACAAAGGACAATGCAAAGTAATGCCACTTAATCCCTTTACCTTTACAATAAAACCATCACGCTATCTTACGAAGCGCAGTGCAAAGTCCGGGCATGTAATGTTCGTTTATCTTCCATCACGCGTAAAGCGACGACTCGCACAACTAAATGCAAATTTTTGTTTATGTTTTGTCAACGTTTTTATTGCGCAATTAAAGTAGTTTCTCTGTCAAGTTTTTCTTGTGCTTCAAATCGAGAGCTGGAAGAATATGTAAGGAAAAAGTGACGCGACATAGTTGTTCGTATCTTATTATAATAAACCTTCCGTAAGAACGTATATACGAACTTTTCGCATAAATGAAGAAATATCTTGTTTATCTAAAATTTTAAGATCGGCGATGGCGATGCCCAAGGAAATCATATAATTAGCATATCGTGAGATGAAAAGTATAACATCGTCACTTGGTATTGTATTGATGATGAAAATGCGTCTCGGAAATATGGACTTCGCGTCACACTTTCGCGGAAAATGCAAAAAAAAAAAAAGAAAAACGAAAAATATGAGACCGGAAAAATGCAAAGAGTGCGAAGTGCATCGTGTAACGTATCCCTGCTCAATTAAGAAGTTTCCCGACAAAAATTTTTCCTGCAAACTCATGAAGGAGCACTTTGCAGCGTTCGCATTTTGCGCAGGTTTCGAGCTTATCTGTTGCAAGTGTCGACAACACCGTTTTTGCAGTGCCGCGATTGCGCGAAGTGCACTTTCGATAGTGATATACCGATAGCTTACGGATGAAGGGTTACATGGA